TATTTATATAAGAACATGGTTACAGAGACGCTAGGCGTTAGTCGGACAATAGAGTACATAGCACCTAACACCTAAGCGGATAACGAAAAAAAAAAAAAAAAAAAAAACAGTGCACTGCACGTGCGTGAAAATTAGCAAGGCTGACTTGGTCGAGTTAATTCAGCTAAGTCAGGCGCATTTGGTTGAGTTCATTGCAGACTCGACCGAGTTTGGCGTCTAGGCGGCCGGCCTCCTGAGTAGAAATTAAAAGTAGGTGCCCGCACGGGCTTAGCTCAATGGTTTAATGGGCAATATTTGGGATAAGATACCAAGGTTCGAATTTCAGCGGCGGCAGTGTGAGAATTATGTCCAAAGTGGGCAGATTCCTTGTGCACACCGGCACCGGCATTTGGCCCTGTCCGCTGAATCATTGAGTCACCCTGAAGATTGGGGATTCAACCTTTTGGGGGAAGAAATTAAAATTAGGTGTAATATTACACTCTATATGCATGAGAAGACATATTCTTCCCTGGCCCTAACTTCTTTAACGTGCAAAATTCCAACTATATGAAGAAATTAAGAGTAATAATTTAAGGTGTGATGTTGATCGACAGGGGAACTTCGCAGCAACTTATCAAAGATGGCGACACTGGTTTGGTTGTTTGTGGCATTAATACTTACACAGAGTTACACCGCAAGTCTTGCCAGCATGCTCACAGTGCAGAAGCTGGAACCAAAAGTTGCAGACATTGAGACGCTGAAAAGCAGCAACGCCAAAGTGGGGTGCTCCCAGAAAGCTTTCGTGTGTTCTTACCTTAACACCGCTGTCGGGTTCAAACCTGAGAATATCCAGAGGTTTCCGGACATGAAGAGCTGCGCCGACGCCCTTAGGAACGGGGAAATAGAGGCGCTGTTCCTTGAAGCCCCAGTTTCCAAGCTCTTCCTTGCCAAGTATTGCAAGAGCTTCACCACCGCTGGGCCTACCTACAAAATTGGAGGATATGGATTTGTAAGCATATATATACACTACTGGAAATTCTGAAATTTCCGACCACCTGAAAGTAACGGAAAAATCCTTGTTGCTATTTCCGACCACTTTTTGTTTTCGACTTGATTTAAGATCACTTTGTGGTCGGAAATTCAATAATTTCCAGTAATGGTATAAACTAAGTTCATTAATTATATAGAATTGAAAGATATGATTCGTCGCTGATAGTGTTGTTATCAGGCATTTCCGCGGGGATCTCAGTTGCTGCCTTACATAGACGAAGCTCTGTTGAAGGCGTTCGAGAGCAGTGATTTCATGGGGCTGGAGAACGGGCTGACGGCGTCGGAGAAATGCGTGGACGTCGTCGACGGTCAAGAATCGGACGACGACGACGACAAAGCGAGCCTAAGCGCGGGGAGTTTCTGCGTTCTGTTCGCGTTGACCGGGTGCACATCCACGGCGGCGCTGTTAATCTATGCTTTCCGTCGCCGTGAACCCCCCCGGCGGGTGGTGAGCATGCGGGAGGTGCTTTCGCTGCTGTTGCTGCACATGAAGAACATAAAGAACAGGAGGATAAAAGTTTGCCTTTCTGAAACCCCAAGAATTAATCCTCCAGAGATTCAACTTTCAGATCCGGAACAAAAGTTTAGGCCCTCCATCTAACGTTGTTTCATGATTATTATTAGTCTAAGGCGATAATTTAGTACTAAGCTGATCTCCACATACACTCTATCCTGTAAATTAAAATTATGGAATAAAAACAAAGGAAGTGATGTTCATCCTTCACAACCTGCCGAAATCCCATTTGACTATTCACCCTCATTTCTTTTTTGAGTGACCAAAAGAAACACTAAAAAATTATAAGAAATTAAAGTTGTCTTTGATTGGCTCAAATAAAGAAGAAGCTCATTGAGAGCTACTTATTACTTTTCTTAATTTGAGGCGGTTAGTCATACACAATTTAGATTAATTTATTTTCTTTCATGTGATGATTTTCCTTTTACACAAACTTTCTTATAAATCAAAATAGAGAGAAATTAATTTAAAATCTTTCTAAAAATTAGCCTCTATAAGCTAAGAGCATCCTCATCTGCTTTGAACTTTACACAATTTTTAATATGCCACTAGTAAGAATTAATCAAAAAAAAAAAATGTCTGACTCCAAAAAAATTAAAAAACAGAGCAGGTCTAACACGCCAGCAGGCGCGTGCGCTTGTGTTTCCAGTACAGGGAGAAAAGTAGAGACCTTTGTTTGCATTTTAGTAGCAGTGGACCTTACAAAAGTCTTACACTTGCATGAGAAAAAACTCAATTTCCTATTTGTGCAAAAACTACACACTTACTTTTACTATTTCGAAAATCACAATAAAAAGCATTGATTATGATGCTCTAAGCACAATATCAAAAGCATGCAAGCAAATTGAATTGGCAAATTATGATGTGCAACCGTGTGCATGGTGCACACTGTTTTATGTTCATAATTACTGAACAATATGTTCATAATTATAAAACTATATATTCATAATTTTTGAACTTCATATTTATAATTATTGAACTTTATATTCACAATTACAGAACTCTATGTTCATATTCTCAATTGTTGAACTTTGTATTCACAAAAATCACAGAACTATATATTCATAATTTGATAACTATACAATTTAGAAATTATGAATCTACAGTACAGATATTATGAATCTGCAGTACAAAAATTATGAATCTATTGTATAGAAGCTATGAATATACTGTATTTAAATTATGAATTTACAGTATAAATTTTATGAATCTACAATATAAAAATTATGAATGCACACGGTTTCACAGCATAAGGATACAATTGAATTTCATTGGGCTTAATTGAGTATTCTTCTAATTGGGCCAACTCTCATATTCATTTCTTCAATTCTTGGATATAAAGCATTTTATTGGCTATTGAATAGTTGAATCCTTTAATAGCAATGTATAATTGGATCTTCAGAATTCTTTGTACTTGGGAGCACCCACATGAAATATAAATTTTTAATTCTATTCTTTTGACAAATGAAACAATGAAATAGAATAACATATTCTACTCACACTTGTGTGAAATCGTCTCACGGATCCTTATCAATAAGATGCGTCAGATTGAGTCAATAAGAAAATGTAATGCTTATACTGAAAAATGTAATACTAATTATGAATAAAGTGTTTGTTACTTATAAGGAAAAATATAATACATTTTAGGACAAATGTAATACTTTTACATCTTCACATTTTTCATCAAAAGTATTACATTTTTCTTTATAAGTAATGTTGGTAAGTGCTAGTTACTTATATATAAAGGAAAATGTAATGCTTTTGAGAAAAAAATGTAATACTTTTAAATCAAAATGTAAAGTATTACATTTTTCTTCAAAAGTGTTAAATTTTTCAATATAAGTAATAAATATTTTATTTCTTATTAGTATTACATTTTCTAATATAAATTTTATATTTGATCTAAAACTGACCTGTCTCACGGGATCTGTAAGACGGTCTCACACAAGATTTCCCTTTCTTATGGAATATGATTTTTATTCTCTCAAAATTTATTCTATGAACTAAGCGAGTAAGCGCATTGCTAATATGGACAATGATCCACTTATATAGTAAACCACTTGCCAACACAAAGTATTAGATTTGAGAGGATATTAGGTTTCAATACTATCTGACAAAGATAATCGTCATAGCTACCCATTGATAACAGTCGCGATTTCCATAATAAACAACTATGACTATCCAAATATAAATAATTGTAAAAATTGTTCATATTTAGACATTCAAAACTATCATCGATAAAGACAATCATTATTGTTTTTGTTGAATAACCATAGTTGTCTATCAATAATGATCATGAGTGTATCCTTTATGACATTTTATTATTATTTTAAAAAAATGAAAGGTGATTTTTTTTTTTTGGTAAATACAATCATATTTATAAAGTATCATTAATGTACTCCTTTCAATTTATACAATAAGGTTTTTAGTATGCGGGATATTCATTTAATATAGTAAAAAGTTCCCATATATATAAATCATTACTTATGACTGTTCTCTTTTTTCTTTTTTTTTTTCTTTTTTTTTGACAATAACATTTAAATAGAATAAACATATGTGTATGTGTTGTTTTGTGAGTAAAAAGCAGTGGGTCGTCATTATTTACATCACCCGCCCACGATTTCAATTGTTTTGTCGTTACACCCAAACACTCGTGATTTCAATTATTTGTAATTGACCTTAGCATGCAGGATGTCAATTGTTATCATCATTATATCCTACATTCCATGTGACAACGTAACAAGCGCCTAATTAAGCCTCACTTTCTAATTTCAATTCAACCCCACTAAACAAACCTTAATTACCGCTGAAAAGCTATGTTTGCCCTTTCCTTCCAAATCATATCTCTTAATTTCTCATTTCACTTCGCACTACGTACTCCAGAAGGCTGATTTAGATGTTTTTTTTTTTTTTTTTTTTTTGGTTTTTAAATATTACCGACTCTATTACAATGTAGTATATGTTCATACTTACTTTCTCAACTTACTGAAGCACAAAGAATCAATACTCCCCACACTGGAGTTCGAATCTAAGACCTCTCATTTGAGAAGTCATAGCTATGCCGCTCGACCACAAGACATTTGACAAGGCTTACAAATCAAATTGGGTAAGCTTTAGACAATTTTTTTTTTAAATTAAAAAAATCTTTATTAAATGCGAACTTTTGTTGGATGGTATTTAATAAATAATGCGACAAAAGATTTTTTGAATCCTAAAATAATCGAAAAGATTGTGTATTGAAAACTTTAAGTTTTCAACCACTTTTTTTATTATAGTCATAAATCTCAAATATCATATTTGTAAGCTACTTATAATCCATCAATTCAATCATTAATTTTATTTAAAGAATAATAATACTCAGTAGTTGATAACTTCATATAACATTATTACTCAAAATTATGATGACAATGACAAGAAAGGTTGCAGTTACAAAAGAAAAGTTGATATGTACAAAATATTAATAATGAATCATACATGTTGCAATTAAAGGCAATACAAAACTTTTGACCCTATGCATCAATAATAACGGTCCATGCTCCACAAAATTAAAGTACACAAACATCATAACCCTTTTCATCCCAATTCATACAGGCTAAGGTTACATTACATACCCCAAGGAACCAATTAACGAATTCAATATTAAATCTAACGTCAAAGAAAAAAATAAAATAAAAGTGGGGAAAAAAAAATAATAATGAAAATGAAATGTTGGTTATCCCCACTCATATCATGTGGGTTCTTAAAACACTGAGCAATCAAAAAAATAAAAATAAAAAATCTACACCAAAGCTACTGATGACAGGGACATGGCCCACCATGAAATATTTTAGATTTATAAAAAAAGCTTGGATGGGATGGGATGGGAACATGCCACGTGATGGCGCAGTTTAGCACAGTGCACCGCATCTTCTTCATCACTGCTGCTGCTGCAAGCCATCTTGTTGCGCCGCCGGCGCCGCTGCTTCTTCGCCGTCGCCATTGTTACCGGCAGTCGTGTTCTTCAGATTCTGTTCATGGTAGATCTGCCTCAGCCTTTCTATCTCCTTCTTCAACGCCTCCTGGTGAGCTGCAGTTCATCATAACCAGAATAACGGTTAGACGAGAACTGTGTAATTATTATTAAATAAACATGGAATATTTGCTTCTTCATCCTATCTATCGCTGATTCAAATATCCGAGACAAGTAGACAAACATCGTGTTGAGGAATTTTCCAGACAACAAACAAACATATATGGATATTCTCATATTCATATTCTTATTCATTCCGAATCATAATACTCCAACGTCTTGCAAAACAGTGATTTTTCTAAGACAATGGTACCAGAAATCCGATTTCTTTGCTCCTCCAACCACAATCTTTTTCAATCAAGTTTTTTTTAAAAAAAATTTTAAATGTAGATTTTTTGTCTATTACGGAGTATTTGGACATAATTTTTTAAAAAATGTAATTTAATTTGATAAAATCGATATTTTCAGAGATCAATTAGTACAGTTGTGAGTTGTAACCAAACAAGTACATGTTATGAGTGATAATCATTAATCATATGTCCTTTAATAATTAAAAATAAAAACATGAACCTAATTAATGAATAAGACAATTATTCTAAAGTCCCATGCAAATTAACGGGAAAATTCGATAATAGCATTGTTTATGCAATTAATTGCGGCAAATACACCAAACATTTTTTTGACCAAGAAAATTAGTGAAAATTTAACATGACTAATTGATTTTGGAGTTCTAATGATAATAATAATAAAATAATAATAATAATTACCATCTTTGAAAATTTTGTCTTGAGCTAAGGCTGCAATCCGCTGTTTAAGAGCACTGTTATCCACATTTAGAATCAGCCTTTGATGGTCCAGAAACGCAACCCTTGGTGACAATGCCGATACCTCAGTCTTCATTCATTTTTTTTTTTCCAAAAAATTAAAAATTAGTTTGATTTTATTGAAGTATGTACTGATTCAAAAATTTTAATATTCATGAAATTAAAAAGAATAAAATAAAAATCTGGCAACTGCCAAGAGATTAGTAGAAAATTATTGTTAAGTAGAATTGGGTTATATTAAACATACTTGCAATGTGGTTACACTCCTTTCCAGCTCTGAAATGTATTGCAGCTTTCTGACTCTTGATCTCTGAGCTGATTGTCGATTAGCTAAAATCCTGATATTTAATAATTATGTAATTTAATTAAATTTACAACTAAAAGTGTAATAATTAATTCCAAAAATATTCAATTTTTGAAAAGAAAAATTTGGGTTCGTACGTACCTCTTAATCCTCTTTGGATCTACTATGGCATTGGAAGTATCTCCGGAATCATTGGCGGGCGACGGTCTAGTGGCGGGTTGAGCCGGTTGGGTTTTGTATGAGCTGTCAACCACCTCTCCCGGTTCATTCTTGGGCTGAATTTCGTGGCGGCGGGTTTGGGGTTTTTCCTCGTTTTCGCTTATTTGATCCGATGACGTCGTCGAAGGATTAGACGACGGAGCGGTGGCCGCCGCAGCGGCGGCGGAGGAATCGTCGGGGAACATGGACGTCAGCTGCTCGTCATCCAGCCTGTCAAACCCGTTGTTGGCGTTACCGTTACCGTTGTTGCTGCACGTCATCAACGCGCCGCCGCGGCACTCGTCCATGAAGGGAGCCTCCACGAACGCGATGGGGTCACTGACGGAGCGGCGGTGGAAGTTTCTCCTGGCGGAGGAGAAGTCGAGGAACTCATCGACCCAGGGGTTCTGCTGCGCTGCTGCTGCGGAGGACGTCGACAGCGGCATTGCTTGGAACGGAAAAGACGACGGCCAATTCTGCGTCATGGAGGGGCCCTTGGGCGGTAGTTGCGCCATGCACACACTACTTAATTAACCAACTAAACCCAAACTATAATCACTCTCTATTCAATTCTGAATCTACGAAGAAACCGTCAGCAACGTAATCCTGAAATGGAACAATAATGACAGACTGAAAATTCCCAGGGATCGGAATGTATGACAACTTAGGTTGCTGTGAATATAAAGAGGATTGAGAAGATATAAAGAAGTTAACTAAGAATAGGATTGAGACGACGTTGTCACGGCCGACTATTTTGGGTGGTTTTGTTTGTTGACGCGGTTCCCATTTTAATGCCCCATGATTTTGGAGGGAATTGAATGAGAAAAAGGGGACTGCCCATCACCACTCCACTCACCATCTCATTTCACACTTTTTTTTTTGATACATTAAAAAGTTTTTAACTTGTACAATACCAAACTAATCCTAATTCTCCATTAGAATTCTCACCTGAGAGTCACTGAAAAAGATAAATTGACAATAACTTAAGCATTATCACGGTCATACTCTACCGTTAACTATGTGTCAGGTCAATCCTAATTCTTAGAATCCCTATTCAGGACTCACGAGAGAAGATAAATCTCGAATCGTCCAAGTAATTTCCTAGACAGTCTCTGTCATTGATTTTATTTAAAAAGGATTCATCTTTTCACTTCATCTAATTTTGAGAGTCCAAACATCCAAACTCAATGGATTAGTCCCTTAAGTTATTTTTTTTTTTTTTTTTACTGCACTAATATTTGTATATCACAAAATAAAACTAATTCAATCATCAAATATTATTAGAAATTTGGATTGAGGGAGAGAGAAGTCACATGGGGAGGGGAATGGTACAGCTAGCAACAGCTGTTGGGGAGGGAGGGAAATAGGGGAAAGAGAACTCAGAGTCTCTCTCTCTCTCTCATCACTGGAAAGACAAAGACCCCATTTGTAATTGTATATTAATTGGTGACATCAGCCACCACGTGCCGATGTGACCTTTACCTTTTGCTTTAGTCTCTATTTACGAATAATCTCTCCGTCCCTATTTCACGTCCCCTTCCTTTCATCAATTTTTCAATATAATTATATCAAGGAAATTTTAAAAAGAAATTTATATAGAAGCCTTATATATTACAGTATATTCCATATATAGATTAGTTTTTTTTTTTTTTAATTCAACTTAAATAACGGAATTTAAGTTAACTAAGTTTGAAAGTGCATGAATTTATGAGTTTGTACATTATTATCACATTATATATATGAAAGAAAAATGTTTCATGTTACTGAATTCAGTATTGTCATGTCTAAAAAGAACATATAAGACAATTTCGAAAGTAATTATATCTTTTTATTTTCTATTCAACTATATATTTGTAATAATCAAAACATTTTTTTTCTTTGATAAAATATGATAGCAACAAAATTTCCTCCCCATGTGGATATATATGGTGGAGGAGGAAATGTAGAAGGGGATGAGCTGTGAAGCAAAAGGAGGGAGGGAGGGGAGTTAGAATCATGTCTTTTCTCCTCCCCCATGTGGAGTGTGCTTCCAAGGTCTACCCCAAAACACTCCTATTCTTCTCTTATTGCTTTAATTTGTCCCTAATCTACTCCCACATGGATCCTATCTCTCTCTCTCTCTCTCTCTCTCTCTCTCTCTCTCTCTCTCTCTCTCTCTCTCTCTCTCTCTCCTTCCCTCAAATGTTCTTCCTATCCTCTAGCTAATTAGCTTGCTTCCCATTAATATCCAAATTAAACTATTTTTATTCAAGGTTTGCATTTACAAGTTAAATCAAACTTAAACCAATCATTCAATTTTTTTTTTTTTTAATGAGGCCATGAGGTGTCCTAAGCAGGTCCAAAATGTAGGAGACACCTTTAAGTACCATACTCGAACTAATCCCCATTCGTACCAGGCCGGTCAAATTAAGGAACAAAGTGTTGGGTAGATTGATTTTTCCATCGATCACTCACTCCAACCAAACTGGTTAATCATTCAGTTTTTTTATTTTTATTTTATTTTTTACATTGAGAGAGTTTGGATAATAGCTTACTAGTGTTTGGTAATCATCATTTTAATTTGACTTATTGATGTCAATAAGTTAAAAATGAAAAAAGTTATTTAGAGTAGCTTTTTGAAATCAGCGTATTGCATTTTCTTAAACAAAAACTAATACTTAAAATAATGAATAATACATTGTAAAAAGTAATTTAATAGTTAAAAGTATATAAACAAATATACTTATGTATGTCCATTTTACATTTAATTAGTGAAGATTAAAACTTAATTTACCAAACACATTTCTATAATTCGATAATACTAACAATTAACACACTTAGCTATCAACTATCAGCTAATTGTCAAACACTCGGAATATTATATAGAATGTAATATATAACTATCCAACCAATAACAAGCAATGCTTCATCACCTCCACAAGGGGTGGAGCGGCATGATTCTCGTACCCACAAAAGATCGTTCTAGAATAGATGAAATATAATTCTCGTACCCGCACAAGATTTTTTTAGGTTATATATACATTATATTGTGGATGAGAATGATGATGATTAGAGGAAAAGTTGAAAGGCAAGCGAGGCAGCAGGCAGCATGTTAAGTACAGGAGGGGTAGCTCTGTCACGCAAAAAGCTTAATTGACCTCACCCTGGGTATTAAAATATACACTACACAACACTATAATATAATATTATATTATATTATTATTAACATAATCTTTGTTTTGCCAACCAAATTAAAGCTTTCTTTAACTTATACTATATTCCCATCTCTTATCTTCATCACATGCATCAAACAAACACCACGTACCCCTATTTCACCATTACATTACTTGAACCTCACGTTTCTTTCTTAATCCTTTTTTGTTGGTCAAGTTTAAATTAAAACAATTAGGCGTAACACCTGTTATAAATGAAATTATTTCGTACATACATGCGATATTTGATACAAGTTGGATGTTGTTTTTGTATAGTGTGATTATTAGTTTAAAAAAAAAAAAAAAGGAGGATGAAGGAGAGAGTGATGCATGTGAAATCCAGCAGGAAATATGGTTAGGAGGGGAAGCAAGTTAGGAAGCAGAGCAATAAAAGATTCTCACCTAATAAACAAGTCAATGTCGTTCTCCATAATTGTCTTTAATCTTACTTTTGGGATCCCAAGAAATTCTTAACACTCCGTACAGAAAAGGAGAGCACCACGTGGGAGGAGCCAGACAGGACCCTATTGTCTCTCTTTCTCTCTCTTTAAAAAAAAATCTTTTTTTTTAAAAAAAAAAATTTAAGAAAAAAAATCTTTTTTTTTTTTTTTTTTTTTGTAAATTTAAAAAGATAATCCCATTGATTATTGATTTATTGGGGATTGTTAGTGACGCTGTGACAGTAAATAAGCTACTGGCATATATTTTGAAAGAAATAATTTCAAGAATTGTATTGCTCTGAATATAAGAATTAGGTCTCATTTGGTTTGCGAAAAACATTTATTATGGAAAATAAAATATCAAGGGAGATTATAGAAAATATTTTCTAATAAAAAATGTTTTTCATGAACCAAACAAAGAAAAATATAATTTTCTGCAAATTTAAAGAAAACATTTTTCTTTAAAAAACACTATCCATGAACAAACATGCCTTTAGAGTGTGTCCCCCATTGTCACCGGGGCTCCACTATTATATCATACAGTGGTTATTGAGTATAACAGTTACAATAATGACACGACGGCCCCTAATAAGTAAAACGGATATACTTAATAAGTATTCAGGCTTCCTAAGTGATTAGAGTGCTCCCCTCCATATAAGTGTAAGGCGGTGCTCTAATAAGTGCATGGGCTTTTGCAACCATTCCACGACTCTTTGTTTGATTGCCTTCATGCCTTGACGGGTTAGACCAAGAGCATCAGGTAGGGTTTGGTGCCCTGTCCAATTATTCTGTCATCACCCCCCTTTACTCATGAGCTGCAAGCGCAACGGAGTTAACTAAGGAGTAATAAAATGTTGAACTTATCAAATATTTCGTCACAAGCTCCTGCCCGCAAGCTACAAGCGAAAAGTCAGCTAGGAACTAATAATAATTTTAATTTTTTAAAATCTATTTTTATAATAAAATAATTTTTAATAAATTATTATTATTTTTCTTTATTTTTTTATTTTTATTTGATTTTTTTTCCGATGGGGACGGACAGGCCGACCGAGGCGTATCCTCAGCGTGTTTCTTTTTTTTTTTTTTAGCCGAGGCAAGCCACAAAATTCTACTTTGTATCGTCGTGGTTTGAACTCGGGAATAGGTGCGCCAAGGATGCCATCGAGCAAATCACCAAATATTTGTCAATGAAATCCACTACTCGTTGGGTGCCATAGAGGTTGGACCTCATGGTTCCGTTGTAGTCATGGGCAATAGCGAGCCCCGAGCCAACATTTTCAGTGTTCTGGTAGCTAAGAGATCACTGTCGATGGGGATGATCTAATCTTTGGGATTACAATGGATCGGAGCCGAGGTGGGTTGGGTAGGGCTACATCCGTCACCCGACTGACATTATATTTTCACCATCCATAACCAAATGTTCAATTTTATTTTTTTTTTGTTTAATTTAAAATTCTAAGTGTTTGATTTTAAAGTTGTTTTAAAATAAATAAATAAATAAAAACTCAAGAAAAGTGAACTTATTAGATTATTTCAAAAAAATAGAAATTAGAAAGCTAAAATGTTTTTTTTATATAATAAAAAATAAAAATTAAAAGTTCAAATTAGAAATGTTCTAGATCTTTAATTTTTGAAACATGGAACTGTGAATTGACGGTTTAGAATTGGAATCAAACCATGAATCATATATTCATTAAAAGTTCAAATTAGAAATGTTCTAGTTCTCGACCTTATTTTGGGTAAATGATATATAGTACGTATGATACACGTATTGTATGATAGTAGTGGGTAACTATGGAAAATTGGCATGCATACCTGTCATGGATGATGATAAGTGTTTATTTGTCTATATTTTTCACCATTTTCACTAAGCTATTTTGCATATAGATCATTCCAAATTTCATGAGGTTAAGACTAAATTGTGTTATTTTGCAAGGAGTTTGGTTTGAAAAGCTTTGGAAGCAAAAATGAGTAGTTTCATGCACTTTGGTGGATATTGGAGTCAAGTGGAGCATTATGGATACATTTAGAGTCCATGGGAGCCAAGGAGAAGCTAAGAGGATGGACAAAACACTTCCAAGGAAGCCTAAGAGTGGTGTATTCAATTGTCTTATTGGTCATTTGGGCAAACCAAAGCAAAATAGAAGAAAAAGATCAATGCATTGCGATTCTCGACCTGCACGTCGATGTCATAGTCTTTGGACCATATCTCGAGCTACAAATATTCAAATTACGTGATTCTTGTCCCATTGAAAAGAAAACTCAAAGGGTTACAACTCATATTCAGACATTAAAGCCTAAAAAGGAAGCCATAATGGTCAAAATCATCCTTGATGTTGAAGTTCCAAACTTACAAATTTCGCTCAAAACTGACCACTATTTGGTAATTGGACCATATATCGGCCTTGGAATATCCAAACACTAGTACAAAAAACATCAATAAAATTGAATAATTCGCGTCCAAAGTTAGAACTTTGGACTCCTAAAGTGTAGTTTATTGCTACCGTTCACTCTTGAGGAAGTTAAGGAGGCGGTATTTTCAATGGCGCCCGATAAATCCCCAGGCCCAGACGGTTTTAATCCGGCCTTCTTTCAACATTTTTGGAATGACATTGGCACCGATGTCTCCGAATTTATTCTGGATTGTCTGAATTCGAAAACAATGCCAACTGGAATGAATGATGCATACATCGCATTAATCCCGAAGAAGGCAATCCCGATCAATATGGGCGATTTACGACCCATAGCGCTATGCAATGTTACTTATAAGATCCTTGCTAAGATGGTTGCTAATCGGTTAAAAAATGTTCTGGAAAAAGTGATCTCCGATTCACAAAGTGCTTTTATTCCAGGACGACTTATAACCGATAATGTTCTTATTGCCTCAGAAGTCATTCATTATTTAAATCGCAGGAGACATGGGAGGAATGGCTGGTGTGCGTTGAAGCTAGACATGGCCAAAGCTTATGATAAAATGGAGTGGCGATTCTTTGAGGCTATTATGGAACGTATGGGTTTTGACCGGAACTGGATTGATCTCATTATGGTATGTGTCTCTACCGTGCGATACAAGGTGGCGATGAATGGTACTCTCACTGACCTTATTACCCCGACAAGAGGCTTGAGGCAAGGTGATCCACTCTCTCCTTACCTTTTCATTCTTTGTGCTGAGGGATTGTCGCATCTTCTGTCAAAAGCTGTACGGGATGGCCGGACTTCACCTTGTATTGTTGCGCGAGGTGCCCCAGGTATTTCCCATCTGTTCTTCGCAGATGATAGCCTGTTGTTTTTTAAATCAACTGTGCATGAGGCTATGGTGATTAAAGATTGCTTGCATACTTATGAAAAAATATCTGGTCAGAGTGTAAATTTTAATAAGTCATGCATTGTGTTTAGTCGAAATGTGGAGCCTCCTATGAAACATGCAGTAGCCATTGTTTTCGGTGTGAGCACAAATGATACTATTGGGAAGTACTTAGGTCTTCCATTAGGCATTGGAAGAAATCGTAAAGCAGTGTTTTCGTTTATTGAGGCAAAAATGAAACATCGTCTAGGGGGCTGGTGTAAGAAGATTTTATCTAGAGCTGGCAAAGAAGTATTACTCAAAAGTGTAGCACAAGCACTTCCTACGTACACTATGAGTTTATACTATCTTCCAGTTACCTTTTGCGAGCACCTTGAGCGTATGATGAATAAGTATTGGTGGCTTTCTAAACAGAATGGTGGGGGTGGTGTGCATTGGCTATCATGGAATCGTATGTCCATGGCTAAGTCAGAAGGAGGTCTTGGCTTCAAGAATTTGCATAAATTTAATGTGGCGCTTTTAGCCAAACAAGGCTGGCGATTGTTGAGTAATCCCACATCTGTTGTCGCTCGTTTATATAAAGCCCGATATTTTACTGGCAAATCACTCCTTGATGCAGATATTGGTGCGAACCCGAGTTATTGCTGGAGATCAATTTTAGCAGGCCAACCTCTCCTTAAGAATGGCTGTTTCCGGAGGATAGGAGATGGTCGAACAACAAATATTTGGCATCAACCGTGGCTTCCTGATAAGAATGACCCCTTTGTTCATACGGAGGTGGTGAGTTCTGATGCTGATAAGAAAGTAGAAGCTTTGATCGATCCTGTCACCTCTGACTGGAACACTGCTATGGTCAGAGAAATGTTCATTCAACGAGATGCAGATTTGATTCTATCTATTCCAGTTTCACTTGAGAATGCTGATATGTGGTGCTGGCGTGGCGACATAAGGGGTGTTTACTCAGTTCGTGGAGGGTACCGTTTGCTGAATGAAAATAATCACAATCTTAATACTCCTTTCACGGCTTGGAAGGAGTTATGGCGTTTGAAAATTCCTCCCAAGTTTGCTAATTTCATTTGGCGCTGTGCAAGATGTATTCTCCCTACGTTGGTGTCTCTTTCCAATAGAGGTATGAATATTGACACTCTGTGTCCTATTTGTCATGCATGTCCAGAATCATTAAATCATCTTTTTTTGGAATGTTCTCAAGTTACTGGTGCATGGGGTGGTATCTTGGATTCTACAGATCTGCATTCTGACTTGAGTTTTGAAGCTTGGCTTTCGGAACTTTTTAAGCAATCTGATCATAATAAATTGTTGCGTTGCATTGCCACTTGTTGGTGTATTTGGAAGAGAAGAAATGAATGGGTTTGGAGTAGAAAGATGTGGCCAGTAGAGGAAATTATTCGAATGGCTACAAGCTGCTTTATTGAATGGCAAACCCAATTAACTACAAGATCACATGGATTGGGACATATCCACAACACCCAAACTCGGAATGTGCATGAATCTTCACATGTGGCAGAAAACATCCCTCCTTCGACATTAGTGGTTGAAGTTGATGCTGCTCTCCCGCAAGGTGGCACCGATGGGTTTTATGGCATTGTATGTCGAAATAGCAATGGTGGTTTTGTTGCTGCGAGGAGCGGTCCAATTCGTTGCCTCAATGATCCCCATCTTGCGGAGGCCTTTGCTGTTAAAGAAGCTCTTTCCTGGACTCTTGAACATGGCTGGCGCAACATTGTGCTCAAATCAGATTGTCAGATGGTGTGTAAGTTTTTCGAAAATGATTCACCGGACTATTCTTATACAGGTTGCGTTCTCAAGTATTGCCGGTCTCTAAAAAGGCACTTTGAATCAGTGTCTATTCATTATGTTAATCGATCAGTGAATAAGCTTGCTCATGTGTTGGCTAGAGCTGCTAGTTCTCATACTGATCATTTTAATTGGTTTTCTACTATTCCTTCTTGTATTGAACACTTAATCTCTTGATTTTAATGATATCCTTTCCTTTCAAAAAAAAAAAAAAAAATTTGTTATTTTATTTATTTTAAAACAGTATTGGCGTCCAAAGCTCTGTACTTTGGACGCCAATATTAAAACCCTCGTATTATACGCGTCCAAAACTCAGTATTTTGGACGCGTGTTATTTTTTTTAAATCAAAATAAGCCCTAGAGCAGCAGATCAACCCGCACCATCGTCCCCGCCGTCTTCATCCTCCTTCGATCTCCATCCTCCTTCACCGTCGACTTCGATCTCCATCCTCCTTCATCTTCGACGCCGATGCCCCCTCTGCCACCGCTCTCCATCTTCCCGTCGACGCCCCCGCTGCCGTCGTCGATCGCTGTCGCAAAGTCACTGCTTCACTTCGACCGTTGCTTCACGCCGACGTCTCCGCCGCTCCGGACCCAGCCGCCGTCCCCGCCGCTCCTCGCACTGCAGGTTAGTGTTTTTTTTTTTTTTTTTTTTTTTTTTTTTTGTGATGCATACCAAGTTTCATAGGGCTTAGAATGTCAAGAATAAAGTGAGAGTGTGATCGAATGGTGCATCTGGGGTACACTAGGCTTAACATCCCACCAATTTTTGTACTTGTCTACTTTGTATGATTGTCATTTTAATTTAAAATCTTTTCCCAATATTCAAGTTAATTATGTGGTGGATCATGTTGATTCATAGATTGTACTTGGGGCAATGCTTAAACCTGCTACAATGAATCATAAACAACCTTGTTCATAGAAGTTCAGGAATCATAAAATTCGTAATTAGATTCATGGATTGCTAGTAAGATTGAGTAAGAACTTATAGTCATTAACTGTGTGCAGTTCAGTTCTAGTTGGGAAGGGAGATTTAGGTTGCTGTGGGTTTTATTTTGTATTTGCAATTTTCTAGGGAATGACATAGTAGCGAGCTTTATGCTTGAGAAACCAGTTTCTCTCTTGGAGGATCATATCTTGCAACTTGAAGATGAAATTTTGTATGAAATAAGTGTTTCCAACACCAAAGTATTCCCCATAACTCCCCTCTTGTGTTTCGTGTGTGGTTTTATTTATTTATTTTAAATGTGTTTCTTAATTCTCTTTCTAATCTTCCAATTTTCTTTAAATGTGGTTTTATTTGGGAACCCCCATCATTTGAGGTGCTGAAATAGTGAAGTGAGATGATAGCTTTAGAGTTGCTAACCCCTTCTAGTCTTCTCTAAATATATATGCAGTTGGTCTATGAGAGTGTAAAGACAAAACAGTCTCGGAGCTTATTACTCTCTAAAAGACATGCATTAGAGAAACAACTTCAACAGTCTAAAACGTCAGCAACCATATGATCTGTTTCTGTTATATTAAACATTTCCTTTCTTAAAGGTAATGAGAGTATGCTATTTATTACAAGTAGGCAATTCTTCACGAATTAATAGATGTTGCGCATACTAGTTGTATCTAATTTCTTAATGTTACTAGAGCTAATAGCTTTCTATCTTAATATTCTGAAAGAATTTAACTCGACTTCAGAGTTTGATGTTTCTTTCCAACAGTTAGTTATTATTATAGTTCTTGGTATGTATGACTAAAACTTTTTCTAATATAAAAGATGAAAGTGCAGGTTATGTTTTCTTTGAATTCTTTCTATGATTGATCTTCTGGTGACTTGAGACCAGACAATCCACAAAGCTAATGTATAATGCACTTGATTAGTCAATGATTATCATCGTTCTTTTTTCAAAGGTTAGCTAATAGATTTGCAAGTTGGGGTCTTAAATTGGCCATAAGTTAGTAACTCATCTTTATATAACTCATAACTGTTTCTATGACTTATGCAGGTACAAAGCTGCCATCAAAGCTGATCCTTTGTGTTACGAGGTGTGCGGCTTAATTTGTTATTTGGTTATTGATTCTCCAAATTTTTATAGGTGCTTTTTCCTGACTGAATGGAATTGCAAATCCTGAAACTATTTTCTATACATTGGACAACAAATATACAAATGTATTTAATCTTTCTTTTTTAAATATATTTTTCTTTCCTTTTTACAGGCCTTGGTGCTGAAGATGGTTGGCTCTCTTCATTCTATTCTTGCTTGGTAAAGAAGGTAATAATTTCATATGAGCTGCCATCAACAAGTCTCAAAAGATCTTTGGGATCTGTTTTTGAATCTTAAGCACTAATATTCAATTCACTAATATTCAATTCTCATCTACTACAGGGATCTTTCTTTCAACAATCTGACTTTGTGATCTGTTTTTGAAATGCAACAGGCTTCAGACAAATCGGTTATAATCAGTGAAATTCTGGACTCGAGGACTAAAAATCTGTTGACCATGTCGAAAATAAGTGATTATGTTTTGTCAAATGAGCTTGTGAGCATTGCATTGGCTATGGTTGCAGAGGATCGTCAAATAAATGAGGTACTGGAAGAGCTTTTTGCTGAAGAGGTAATGTAACCTTGCTGTCACATCTCATTGTTAAATAGAAGTATAGAAGAGTTAACTCACTATATGCTGCCTTTAATGCAAAACAAATTTAATGAGTACTCAAAACATGCCACTATTGGACATTATAAGAATGAGTGACCAATTGGGCTCAATACATAAGATACTTGTAGTATGCAAGGTTTAATGAGAGTATGCAACAGTGTTTCTGCTTGAGTTCTCTGAGAGGTGATTTTCAGTGCTTGAATCATGGTATAATGTTCAGTGAGCTGGCTTTTTATTAGGACAAGCATTTTTGCTTATTGACATTTATATGATGACATTTGTATAGAAATGGATAGTAATTTATCTATACCCAAAAAGATGGGTTCCTTCTTGCTTGCATGGATCCACCCACTTCAATTTATTAAAGAGCTAAGCTAAGCTCTTCAAAATTAGTTGCTATATGTACAGAAACTGATTTTAGGAAATTGCTAAGACCATGAAATTGCTCTTAGAAATTTCCAGCGAGCTGTACAACTAAATTCCAGATTCGCATATGCTCACACATTCAATCAGGATTTAGTCTTAGTTATAGTAGTGACAATCAATTTCTCAATAATATATTATACTAGAAGCGCGCTTTCCTATTTATTTTGGTGCTTTTATATTGAGAATAAGATTATAATTTGTTTTCAGGTATGTTGCTGTGGAGCACAGAGAAGTTACACACTTTCTATTGTACATTTATGGTGTCATGAAGATCAAGTTACTTTCTTTATATGTCAACACTGAAACAAGCAGTTCTCCTTTGGCAGAGGTAATGTCTGTGTGTTTTCTTTCTCAGTACATGAAAAAAGAAAGTGTTTAGCAATGAGAAATATGAAGTCCATGACTAGACTTACCTGAAGCTCAAACAAGAACCTTTTTGGTGTTAAAAGAAAATGTTTGCCTCAGACTTTATATAATTCAGTTAATCAATGAAATATTATTATTATTATTATTATTATTATTATTATTATTATTATTATTATTGTATGAAGTTGCTAATTAGATTAAAATGATTAAATGTCTTACAGGTATACAAACTTAGCTATGATATATGCATGCAGCTGTATACAAACAATTGTTTGTGCAAAGATATGTGCCTTTTTCTCATGCAATCATTATGAGCTTTAATAATTCATTTCTGGGGCAAACATGAGAGTTTCATCTGGATATATACTTCAATATAAGAAACCCTTAAACGGCAGTCCTATTATTTGTGTTATTTTAGTTGAAGTGTATGCCTTGTAGCTTGATTGGACTTAAGACTACTTCTGTTTATCGATAAAGTAGTCTTAAGTCCAATTTAGCTACAGATTTGACACATACTTGAATTTGCCATTTTATGCAAGCAGACACTGGTATTATCCTATGTATAGAGAAGGCCTTAGCTCAGTCCGGGGTATCTAGGGAAGATGTGAACTATATAAATGCACAGGCAACATCGACACCAGCTGGGGATCTCAAGGAGTACCAAGCACTTGTAGTTACGAGTGAACTCAACAAAATCTATGATTGGTCACCTTCTAGGAGCAGCTGGTGGTGTGGAGGCTGTAGCAACTGTTCAGGTAACTTTTCTACTCGATCTCTCATAATTCCCCAGGTACCTAATACTTGCATATACATGATAAGGGGTCTGCTTGAGTAACTTTAAATCTTGTATATACCCATGTAAAAGTTATTCTTTAGTAAATGCCTACTCTTTTATTGCAGGTTGAGGGTGAGATGGATAAGCTTGCAATGGAAGAAGCTAGTTTTCGTAATTGGGTATATGGGTTCTCAATATTTAGTGTTTACAATCTACTACTTGCACAGATACTATGAGGACCAATTGACTCAGATCGATTTCGCAGAGGTTGTTAGTTAATTTGAGCAATTAAATGTGCAAGCAATGTGTTGATACCCTATATAATGTAAAAGTTGCAAAAGCAATTGTCTGCCTGCATCTTATTTTAGCAAAATATCTTCTTTTTTTGGTATCTTTTCTAATTTGTTATTCAACTTGGAATAAATTGTGGCATTCTTTCTGTTTATTTACAGATTAAGATGGAGCCTCTTGCTATATCATTGGACGATGATCTTAACAATGCGGCAAAACAAGTCCAGGTTTGCACAATATAATGCTGCAACCAGAAGGTTTTGGTTCTCTGATTTTTTTATTTTATTTTTAATAGGCATCTCGTATAATACTTGCAACTGATGGGGATCCACCTGGCCAGGCTCTAGCTGACGAACTTGCCCGCCGTTTAGGGAGAGAAAGGTTTATATTTCTCTCTTTTGATGTTATGATCATGTGAATTAGCATTTTCGGAACTGATTGTCTATAGGAATTTTTACTTGCTAGTAGTTTTTGCTTTAATGGTAATTAGCATTTTCGGAACCGATTGTCTTAAAATTCGAAAGTTCATAGGGTCTTAGATCATTGGGTAGCAATGTTCTTTTCTACATTATTCTTAGTCATTCATGTGTACATTGATGATAGTTATTTACGTGAATTAGTAGAAGTTAATTATTTAAGAGGTATAACTTTACTTAATGATTAAGTGTTTAACCAGTTATATTGCAGTTTGTCCTCTTTCTCTCTTCATGCATAATCTATGGGGATGGGGGATAGTTTGAACCTATCATCTTAAGAACACTTGGAGAGTTTGCAGCTTTGACATACTGATTTGTTACTGTAATGCAATACATATTACGTACGGAGTAATAATATATCAATTCCCAGATTGGAGTATGAGCAGAAGCGGGACATGGATTCAAGGATTACCAAATTGGGGGCAACACTTGAAGATATATAATGTACACAAATGCAAGCAGGTGTGCTTTAGTATGAATAAAAATTGGAGATTGATTACATCTTAAGTAGTTTATTTTAATTGTTAACATTTAGAATTTGTAGTAAAATGTTATTAGAATTGAAATTTTAGATTGGTGTGTAGTATACATCTTAAATTGATTAATGTTGAAATATATTATTTGGTAGTTATGCTGGGATGTACAGGAAAATATTGGTAGTTTTATAAAAAAAAATATTTTTTTTTTAATTTTTTTTTAATATAGGCGTCCAAAGTTCAGAAACTTGGGACGCGTATAGTATTTTTTTTTAAAAGAAGATGATTAATCGCGTCCAAAGTCGAAGAACTTTAGACGCGATTTACAGACTTTGCGCGTCCAAAGTTGACCAACTTTGGACGCGCAAAGTCAGTGGTCAACACTGTAATGAGATTAATCGCGTCCAAAGTTCTTCAACTTTGGACGCGATTAATCGTTTTTCGCGTCCAAAGTAGCTTTGGACGCTGATTGTATATACAATCAGCGTCCCCGCCATCTGCGTCCCAGCTACTTTGGACGCGAATGACTGTTTTTGTACTAGTGAAATGAAGTGATTTTTGCACCATTTGAAAGAAGACTCGAAGGGCTACAACTCTCATGAAGACATCGAAGCCTATTTCCAAAGGAAAAATGGGTCAAAATAAGCCTACAAGTCAAAGTTATGTTTCAGAGAGGTACTCGACGCGTCGAGTCTGGGCAGTGAGGTCGCGTTTTGCAGTCTGTAAATGCTTGATGCATCGAGAATTACGCTCGACGCGTAGATCCCCCCGCCTCTACTCCTTTTTAACTGATTTTTCACTCATTTTTACTCGATTTTGAACCCCATTCGAACCCAAACTATTTTCTACTCTTTCCATTCATATTTTAGTGTTAGATTAGGTGTAGATTTAAGTTCTTTATCATATTTCAAGCTTGTATTCAACACTTGAATTCCAAGATTTAGCATCAATTTCTTTAGAGAAGTTTTCTTCTCCCTTTTATCTCTTTATCTTGCAATGTTTGTTTGGGTACATACTGTTTTTTCCACTTTAAAAAACAATCTCACTCCCACGTCACATTAAAACAAAACAAATAAAAAATCAAAAACGTAAAAAATAATTTAAAAAATAAAGTACAAAAAGCTACCACAGCAACCGGAAGAGACAGCCTTTTGTCTCTACAAACTTGCTATAGTAGCAAGTTTTCAAACTAGATCATTATTTAAAAAAAAAAAAAAAATTAGCTAGCCTGCTATGTCATTTTGTTAATGCAATACTTGTTAGAATGAGGACAACTTAAAATTAATGGGACCTCCATATATAAGACTTGTCGAACTTGGAGTCTCAAATGGACTAGACTTCTTAAACAAATTAAAATAGACATCAACTTTTAACCTACGTATACGTACGGGACCTGTTTTAACTATTCATACAAAAAATAAAATTTTAATATGCCACCATTAATAAATAAAGAATTCACAAGAAACACGCTCGCTGGCAGTAACTAAACTGACATATATAAACGGTGTAGCTATTTCAATTTCCAAGACAAGGGCATATATCATATATGCGTGTTAACAGAAATTGTTGAAAAGTTTGTGAAGTGATTAAATTGTGAGGATGGGAGTTTCAGCAGATATATATATATATATATTTGACATGCATATATGTAATATGCAATATAATACGGAGTATAATGTGAAGCAGTAATAGATGGATGTGATGAACATGTATGCATATATATATAGGGGCAGATCCAGAGGGGGCAGTTCCTCCCTCTCCCCACCTTCTTTTCTATATATGTATGTATATACATATGTAGCAGTAACTTATATATAAAAATGAAATGTATATATAAGTTACTAAATGTTTATGTAGTTTAATTAGTTACTTGTTCTTTAAACTCAGGCTTCATGCATATCTCGATCTCTTTTAATATTATTCACTTAAAGGTGAAAAATTATTTACCTGTAATTTCGAAGGTATGCACCTAAGACAACAAAGTCATACATTTATGATTAAAATGTATGCATTCTTAGGCTAAATTCTAGGCACCTTAAAATATGTACCCAAAGAAGGAACAATATGCACTGAAAGAATGAATAATATGCACCCAAAGAAAGAACAATATGCACCCAACAAAATAAAATAATGCACCTAATTAAAGAAAAAAGTAAATATTAACTAGATCGAAGATAAACTATGCACTTGAAGAAGGAACAATATGCAACCAAAGAAGGAAAAATATGCAGTCAAAGAAGAAATAATATGCAAAAAAAAAAAAAGGTAAATATTCACTAGAAGATAAACCATGCACTAATCTATTCAGCTCTTTTTGCATTAATCTATTCCGAGTTTTCCCTTCAAAAAAAATAAATAAATAAACCATGCACTCGAAGAAGGAACAATGTGCAACCAAAGAATGAATAATATACACTCAAAGAAGGAAGAATATGCACCTAACTAAGGAAAATAATGTGTCCAAAGAAAAAAGTAATATTCAGTAGAAAATAAATCATGCACTCAAAGAAGGAACAATATGTACCCAAACAAAAAAGTAAATATTCACTAGAAATAAATTATCATGTATTGCCAAAGACCTTGTGGTCAAGCGGCATGACTATGACTCTTCTAAATAGAAAATTACATGTTTGAGCCCTACATTGTAAATGAGTTAGTAGTACTAAGATTTAACCCCATTTTTCACCTAAGACCAAGCTAAAAAAATATTTTGTACCATTTAACCCACGGCTTCAGTCTTGTAAATGCCATGCCATTTATAACTAACAGAGCGTTTGGTTGGAAGAAAAGAATTAGGGAGAAAAAGAATTGTAATTCGGTGGAAAAACAATAAGGTGTACATAAAGTTGGAATTCAAATTACCCTGTTTGGTATGGAGTAATAGAATTATTAAGTATGAGAACGAAAAGAGTGATATAAAGACTAAAATGTCATTGTGTAGTAATAATACTAATATAATCGAGGTTTAAAAAGTCTTTTTTCTTCCTTTTCCCCTCCCTTTTCTTTCCCTATTGAATTGCAATTTATATAGGGAGTATAATGAATTACAATTCTCTTCAATCAAACACGGTAATACGAGTGACCAAAAAATTATATTGTAATTGAATTGCGTCTAGATTCAACCAAACCGTCCATAATAGATACATACCAGTGATACCACAATATACACATGTCAATGCAAAAATTAGCTTTGACCATGTTGGGTCAGGGCAATTAAGCACACAGGGCCTCCACAAATTGGGGGCCCAATTCTTAAAATGAATATTGCACATATATCGACTAGTCCAGCAGTGCTTACATACATGATGCAAGTCTTGAGTTTAATCTTGAGTTGGGGCCCACTGGAATATGCAAATTCAAGTCTACAGATATATGTTAAGCCATTAGAAAAAACTTGTCAATTTAACTCCTACATAGGAGATTGTGAGTTCGAGCATAAGTGGAGACGCTATTAACTATCTGTGTTTCAGTAGGTTGAGAAAATAGTTACGAACAAATACTGCATTATAATAGAATTAATAGTATTCAAAAAAAAAACTTATCAATTTTTTTAGTTTAGACTTATTACATTTATCAATAACGAATTAAAATATTGATTGGCCAAACCTAACCAAATAATACTTCGTAAACATCTTGACCCGTAACTATTATAGTTATCAATTCTTGATTAAATATAAGTATGGTCAAGCCTAATCAAACAATAAAAAATCTTGATCCGATCTAGCTAACATAAAATAAAATTTAATTTCTTTAGTTTAGAATTATTATATTTACCAACTTATGTATTTATTTATATTATAATATGTTACACGTAAAAAGTTATTTATTTACATCTTATTATTATTATTAATTTTTATAACTATTGAAAATTTTATTTTTATATAAATAATAATTACTATCATTAAAATAATTAATATTTTATAAGAAATAATTTTGTAGTAAATTTATGTTCATGTATTAAAAGATGTATCAAATTGAAAAAAAAAATACAATTTTTTAGCTTTCAACCAAATTTTTTTAAAAAAAAAAGACAAATTTTTTTCTTCCTGTCAAATACCATAAAATGAAAATATTTTACTGAAAATAATTCGTTTTCCAAAAATTATATTTACAGAAAAATATTTTTTGTGTTTCTGAACAGAGCCTAAGTAAAGAAAATAATCAATAATACAATTTGAAAATTTGAAGCAAAAATGGAATTGAGAACTTGAAACTTTGAAAATATAAAAACTCTTGTGCTCTCGGCTTTCAGAACTTTAAAAATCTTCATGACTTAAATTCAAAATTTTTAATTATTCTTTAATAATCTTTTTTTTTTTTTTTTTTTGGTATACCAAGGGTTTCACCGGACACACTAAACCCTTCACTGAATTGTAGACACTTATGTTAGGTGGGATAGCTGATTTGGAGATTTAATACTGCTCTATATCCAAAACTAAGTATCAAATCCTTGACATTTGATTAAGAATAGAGGAGTCATTTCCACTCAATCACACCCCAGATTATTCTTTAATAATCTTTGTTCGCGCAGTACAGTGTAAGTTCAATATTTATATTATTTAATTTACTTTTTTTTTTTTTATAAATGATTTTAAAATTATTGATTAAAAAACTGACCTTAGTAAAATTTTGACAAGTATAATATTAAAAGATCAAAGTTCAATATACGTGTCATTTATCTATTATTTTATACCTTTGTAAATATGTTTTCTAGAAAATATACATTTAGCTAGGTTAGAGACTCTAAGAAAAATTAAAATTATCTACACGGATTTAGCTCACGTACTGGTTCCGTATACAGTATTTGAGAGAAGAGATCAAGGTTTGAACCTTGACAGTGGCAGGCAGCTCCCTTCTGCGCACCGACATATGACACTGTTTGCTGAGCTATTGAGTCTCGGTAATTTATATCCTCTCAATTAAATGCTCCGTTGGGCCGGAATGTGATGACCATTGGAGTTGAGGATTCAACCTTTTGAAAAAAGAATAAAATATAATAAAAAATATCCAAAAACGATTTTATAGATATTTATGTAAATAATTTTAGGTAAATAAATAAAAGTCGTAGATCATAAATATTTTAACATTTTTTTAGGTGATCATCTGTTACCATTTTAAATGGGTGGTCACAAAATAAAGATTATCATAATAGTTTAGCCCATGAACGTATGTTAATTAATGAACATTATATATTTATTT